GAAGTCGTGCGCCGCGGACAGTGACCCAGAGCCCGAGAGGCTGAGCGAGGAGCGCGCGGGGCAGGCGCTAGGCCGCAGCCCAGCCCTGGACGGCGGCAGCCCCCCTCGCTTGACCGAACCCGAGCGCGCCCGGGAGCGGCGCAGCCCCGAGAGGGCCAAGGAGCCGGCCGAGAGCGGCGGGGACGGCCTGTTTGGCCTGCGGAGCCTAGAGAAGGAGCGCGCCGAAGCCCGGCGGAAGGACGAGGGGCGCAAGGAGGCCGGCGAGGGCAAGGAGCCCGGCCTGGCGCCGCTGGTGGTGCAGACAGACAGTGCGTCCCCCCTGGGCGCCGGACACCTGCCGGGCCTGGCTTTCTCCGGCCACCTGCACGGGCAGCAGTTCTTCGGGCCTCTGGGGGCCGGCCAGCCGCTCTTTCTGCACCCGGGACAGTTCGCCATGGGCCCCGGCGCCTTCTCTGCCATGGGCATGGGCCACCTACTGGCCTCGGTGGCAGGCGGCGGCAGTGGAGGAGGCAGCGGACCAGGGACAGCCACCGGGCTGGACGCAGGCGGGCTGGGTCCCGCGGCCAGCGCGGCAAGCACCTCCGGGCCCTTCCCGTTCCACCTCTCCCAGCACATGCTGGCATCTCAGGTAAGGCCTGTGAGCTGGTGGCAGCACGACGGAGGGAGGAGGACTGAGGTGGGCAGAGGAGGCAGGCATAGGGCTTGAGGATGCCATAGGCGCTCCAGTGCTTCCAGCCGGCAAAGACTCCCTCCTGGGGAGACCCAATGGACCCTCTGGAACACACCTAGGTTCAGGGAGACTAGGACTGTAGGTCCAGGGTCTGCAAGGGCACTGCTTCTGACTCCTGTGTGACCTTGGGCAAGTCCCTGACCCTCCCTGGGCCTATTTCCTTCCCTATAACCCTAGCATAGAGTGGCACCCATTAGACTCTTTCTGCTATGGCAGACTGGGGCTACCCCGGGCTTTTGTAAGTCCACTTGCCTGGCCTGCCTCAGGACATTTTTCTTGGGAACAAAGATCCCTGGCTCACTGTCAGTCCCTGAAAGGCTAAGGTGGCTGGACAAAAGGAGTAGGAAAATTTGAAATATGTTCTGGATAATTGACCACCCAAATGACCCACCTCCCAGATGTCTCTGGCCCCTTTCAGACCCTCCAGGAAGTCCTCTGACCTGACAAAGGACTGGGTTCTCCCTTCCCCCACACCGTGTTTCCCAACTCTCCCAGCCACACGTCTCAGAGACAAGGGGCTCGGTTCCCCAGGCCCAAGTTGAAATTCTGAGCTCCCAGGGGAAAGTTTATGAAACTGTGGCCAGCAGCAAAATAAGAAGATCTGATGGGGAGAGCGGCCTCTTTGGTTGCTTGGGTGGAATATTCCCTGTGGAAAGATTTGGAATCTCTACATTCATTTTCCTCCCTCTGAGGTTTCTGGCAAATTGAACCCGTGAGATCTTATCTTAAGGGAAGGAAAATAGGAGTTCAGATCTGAGAAGGCTCCTTTGGTTCAGAAGCAAATATTTTTAAAGTGGGGGAGGGGATTCTGAAATGAGTTTTAAATAGAGCTCAGCGTCAGGGGTGTGTGGAGTGAGTGTCTGAGGCACTAACATCACCTATCTGGGGATCTGAGCTGGCAAGGAAGCCTCCAGAAAATGGAGTTCAGGGCCTGGAGGTTTAATCTGCACCCTTGAGTCAGTGTGTATGTGATGCCTCCTCCTCAGACAAATTCTAGTGATAAGCATGGGCATCAGAGAGGTCACAGGGAAGTCAGGGCTTCTAGACACAGCCTGGTCAACAGGTACAAGGCCAGGGCAAGAGTACTGAGCACTCAGGAGGCATCACTTGGTGGACGGCTAATGGTTAAGTTCTCAAGCCAGGATAGCTCACCTCTGGCCATCAGGAAGAGCCCAAACCTGGGAGATCTGACGCCTCCCTCCTTCCTCTGAGACACCATGTCTGAATGCTCAGTAGGGCTTGACCTTCTCAGGAAGGATATTTTCTCATTCCTAACTAAGCTAATTCTCTTCGTTCTCCCTGCCTGAGCCAGGCCTGAGGCTCCCCGGAAGCCCAGCCCAGTCAGCTCCTGCCCTCCTCCCCATACCCACATTCTCTGTGGAGTGAACATTATCTCAAAGGTCAGATAATCCAAAAGTCGGGCCTCAGGGACTCAGGCAGTGTTTGTCCAGGGTTTCCAGCTACTGTGCTTTCCACAGGCAAAGGCTTTGCATTCCTTCCTCAGCTGCCACTTAGGTGCCGCCAGGAGTTCTTTGTATCCAGGCCAGTTTATAAACTGATCGGCATCTGGATCCTTCTCCTGGTCCAGGCAGGAGACCCCTGAGCAGGTGGGCAGGCAGAGGGAGGATTTACAAAGACCCCCGGCCCCCGCCCCGCCCCTCGCCTGTGCTTCCCCAGCCCTGCGGGGCACCTGCAGATAGAAAGGCTGGGGAGGACACTGTTCCAAGTGAGCAGAACCTCCCTCCCAACACAGCCAAAGATGCCTACTAGCCACCTGGCCCTGTGCCAGCCCTGTTTCCTCCCCCAAGGCCCATGCTAGTTCAGCTGCCTGTAATGGCCTTCCCATACTCCGATTGTAATACCTGGCACAGAGCTTGATGGCGCCAGGTCTGTGCGTCATAACCTGAAGTGAGCTCCCCTTCTAACTGGGCTTGGCCATAGGCATACCGGCTCATGCCTACCTGTGCTTTTTTGGGATTACAGTCATGTGAGCTCTGGTCTCATATTCCTAAAAACTGTAGGGCAAGGATTCCCAGTTGTAGCACCACCCCTAGAGCCCAGATCACCTGCAGAAACACCTCAGGCAGGATGCCTAACCCTTGTCTTGTTCTGTTTCTTCCAGGGAATCCCAATGCCCACTTTCGGAGGCCTCTTCCCCTACCCCTACACTTACATGGCTGCTGCTGCCGCAGCGGCCTCCGCGTTGCCAGCCACTAGTGCTGCGGCTGCTGCCGCTGCTGCCGCAGGCTCCCTATCTCGGAGTCCCTTTCTGGGCAGTGCCCGGCCCCGCCTGCGCTTCAGCCCCTACCAGATCCCAGTCACCATCCCACCTAGCACTAGCCTCCTCACTACTGGGCTGGCGGCCGAGGGCTCCAAGGCTGCAGGCGGCAACAGCCGGGAGCCCAGCCCGCCGCCTGAGCTGGCTCTCCGCAAAGCGGGGGCCCCGCCCCGCGGGGCCCTGTCGCCCAGCGGCTCAGCCAAAGAGGCAGCCAGTGAACTGCAGAGCATCCAGAGGCTGGTGAGTGGGCTGGAGAGCCAGCGAGCCCTCTCCCCCGGCAGGGAGTCGCCCAAGTGAGGGGCTGCTCAGCTGCTCCGCTGCCACGCAGGCCTCCTGAGCTGCCTGCCCCTGCTGCTTGGGTCATGTACAGCACAGAATGGGTATTTATTTAAATAAAGGAGAAAAAGCGGGCTGCAGAGGCTGGAGTGAAGCCCCGATCAGCCAGCCAGGGCCTGGGACACTTCCCTGGGCTTCAGAAGGAATCCAGCTGCCAGGAACGCAGTCGCTTTGGAGCCACTGGAATTGGTCCAAGCCTGCTCCCGTGTCAAGGTGTCATCGGCGGGGCCCTCTCCGGGTCCTCCAGCGCTGTGGGGAGGCCTCGTCCCTGGCCCAGCCAGAGGCTGGCTCTTTGGGAGCCAGAAGGTGCAGGCGTCAGGCGGGGGAGCCCCAGAGCCCCTAGCCTCGGGCTGGGACCGCTTGAGAATCTGGGGTGAGGGGTGCTGGGGTCAGTGAAGATTCAAGTCAGTGTAGACTTGAGCTGAGAGGAACCTGTTCTTTTAGTCCTTCCACCTCTTCACCCAGACAGGCGCCCCTCCCACCCCTGGGTCAGCAGAGGGAGTGGCACTTCTGCCTTGAGTCCCCAGGGGGGGAAGAAAAAAGATATTTATGAAATAAATGGTAATTTGTGTAAATAAGCTTTAAGGTTCCCAGAATATGCAAATTGGTATTAATTTATTCAAAGGTGTACATTGCTGTGTACATAATATTTAGAGATTAACTCATAGCATTTAATTTTTTTTTTCATTTTACATGAGCATCTGTATTGTACAGGGCTTGGGGGGGGGGGTCCTTGGCTGCGGGAGAGGGCCCCGATCCCTGGAGGAGCTCCGACCCCGCCAGCCCCTCGGCCCCTCGGCCCCTGCGCCCGGGCTTTGCTCTTCCGGCCCGCGGGCTCCACCTCAGGTTTTCACTTTTCGCTCTGGAGCGAGACGAAACGACAAAAACTCGAGAAAACAATAAAACGCTACAATGCAAAGTGAACGGCGCAGTGCGCTCTGTGGGCCGCGCGGGGCAGGGGCGCCGCAAGCGCGTCAGGCGGGACTGGAGGCGGGGACCGAAGGTTGGGCGCCCCGGGCTCGGCGGCAGCTGCTCCCCGGGGGCGGCTGCAAGGCTGGGGCAGCGAGCTGAGCTGCGAGGCCGGGCGGCGCCGGCGCGGACTGCGGGCTGGCCGAGCCGCCGCGAGCCCCCGCGCTCCCAGCGCGTCCGCGTCCCAGGCCGGGGGCCGGGCTCCCTCTGCTGGCCGCTAGCCTCTGTCCGCCTCTCCCGCCACTCCGCGCCTGGCCTCCCGCTCCCAGTCCGGGACACCACAGTGGAACTGCACCCCCTTTCAGAGCCTCTGGGTAGGTGGGGCTGATAAGATGGGTGCTGCCTGCTCCCTCTTTC